TTAGGAAATGGAAAGACTTGGAAAAAATCATATTAAGTGAAATCAGCCAGAAACAAAGACAAATAGGTTCCATGTTTTCATTATTTGCCATATTTAATATACATCTAGGATAATATTAGCAGATGAATAGCTCAATAGCTACATACATATGTCCATATAAGATATGTCCTATGTGATTCTTGTTTCTTTTGTATGTTGCTCCACCTAGTGCATATCCCCCATTGTCACTGTGTTTGATTTTGTTAGCCTGGTGTTTTATACACATATATCTGAGTTAGGGAAGGGAAGGGGAACAACAGGATCGTGAGAAAAAGGACAAGGGGGGATCCACAGCAACAGCAGCGATATTCACAAGACAACATGTGGAAAAGATCTGTCCAACTTGTGGAGGGGGGAGTTGGGGGAGTGGGAAAGTAGGAGAAAAGTTAAGAAAGGGGTAAAAAGTTTTACAAGAAATGTGCTTATTACTTTACTTATGTAACTATAATCCCTCTGTACATCAGCTTGACAATTAAAAAAGAAGTGAGGGCTGGGAAGGTGGCTCAGTGGTAGAGCGCTTGCCTTGCATGCATGAGGCCCTGGGTTCGATTCCTCAGCACCACATAAGCAAAAAGAAAAAAAGCCAGAAATGGTGCTGTGGCTCATGTGGTAGTGCACTAGCCTTGAGCTGAAGAGCTGAGGGACAGCGCCCAGGCCCAGAGTTCAGGCCCCACAGCAGGACCCCCCAAAAAATAACTAAATAAAAAAAGAAGTGAGCTACAGAAAAACAAATTATCTATTGTGCCATAGCAATCACTGGGTCATGTTGATAAATTAACGAGGCATATGCATTCATGACTGAATTTCAACAACAACAAAAATGTAATCAGGATCGATCTAAAAATAAGACCTGTACTTTTGTACATTATTTGCCAAAATTATAATCCTGAGTGGAAAATAAGTCTACATATTTATTTCACAATTACTTAGAGGATGTTAGGTTTCAAGTGAGAAGGTTACAATATCAAAACAACAAATGTCAACCAAAACTCAAGTTTTCTCCTCTAAATCCTTGGGCTTTTCTCTTACTCTCTGGAAATGCTTCTTTAAGAATATAAGTGAAACGACTCAAAACTCCCTCACTAGAAACAGAAAAGCCATCCAATGAGGTCTCAGAAATCCCAGTCAGTACCCTACACTGCTGAGGAAATTAGCATTTAGCACCCAGCATTACGTTACTAGATGGCACCAAGTTAACCACCAGATTACTGCAGTCTGATCCTGTGATTCTAGAACAATGACTCAGACCACAGCCCCAGAAACAAGGGAAACGGTTGTGATCACTAAATCATGGGCTGGTTTGTTAAAACACCGAAGTATGATGGTAGTGAGGAAAGTTCTGAGAGGAATAAAATAAGGAATAATTTTGGCTGAGTTTAGGATTCATCAGTTGTCTCTGTTTCTCCTCAAGTGTTTGCTAAGGCCCCATGGAGAATCATAGTACTGACTCTCATTTTTGCTACGATCTCTTTGTGAACATGATGTCCCTAAGGGAATGATTTTAAAACAGCGACTGGATTCTGGCGCAGGTCCAGGGGAAGGTTCCCAAGATGCCTGAGCAGAACTAAATCAGGAGCCAACCATCAGTGCAATCAAGTCAGCACAGCTGGTGTCCCTTGTTGCTCTGCAACAAAGACTGCATAGGAACAGGCCAGGGTTGCAACCACTGGAGGGGAACGTGAAGGTACAAGGGCGATTAGGGGCATCTCAAAACATCTCCAAGAATAAGGGACCCTGGTCACTTTAAGAATTATGCAGCAAAGTAAAGCGTCTTCCTTTATCTGAATATCTAACTTTACAGAATTATTTGCACAAGACAAAAAAGTCATAATTCTGGCTACATATAATATTTTATTCTGTCATACATTAAAGGCACCTATACTCCGTTATAAACTCTTAAACACTTTCAAATGATGGTAAGTGAAAGATACATTTTATGAATGTTCGGGAGAGGTGGGGTTTATGAATCCCATACAGAATTGTTACTTTGTAAAAGAAAGAAGAGGTGATGTTTACTTTAGTGCTGTGATCTAGTGAGATTTGAGTTGAAACAATGTCTAGATGTAAAGCACAGTTTTAAATGTTCACAGAGAGTGCAATAAAGCCAAATTTGAATTGGTACTAAAGCATTCCAAGTCTCTGTGACACCAAATCTATAAATTCAGAAATTCTAGTATAGTTACGTACATACACACACATGTGCGCACATACACACACACACACAGAGTTGTTATTGTTTTAAAGAAAAGTGACTTATTGAATAACAGAGTTAAATTTTGGATGATAATATGTTTGCTAGTGTGACTAAATCACTTATGAGCTATGTTTTCTATATTATATGATAATGATTCATGTGTATGTATGTTTTATGCAATAAGTCCAATTTAAAAATACTATTCATATTTCTAGGGTGATACACAGCTGATTGGCTCAGACTTCAAGAGCAAGGGTAATTGTATTTCATGACTCATTTCTTCTTTCAGTTGTGAAAAATGTTCAATTTAAAAGTCTTAGTTCTGCTATAGGTGGACATGTCATAAAGTTATAGAAATCATGATAAACTTGTTAGAAACTGTCAACCAAGTATCCTCAGAAGATAATTGATAGAAGGCAACAAGGCTAATTGCTGTGTTTGAAGAGGCCTAAGGGTGTCATCAAAGGCTCATGGCTGGAGGCTGGATGCTGATAGGTTGGTATGTAGAGATGATGGAACCTTTCAGAGGTGGGACTTGGGCACAAGTAAGGCATTGGGGAACCTATTGTCAGAGGAATTAATGCAGCCCTGGGGGGACTCTAGTCAGTTCTCTGGGAACTGAGTTGCTACATGAAGCTGAAGCCGACTCCTGAACCTCAGAGATCTCATTATTTTAATGCCATCCACTAAGATGCCCTCACTAGGAGGCTAGAGAGATTGTGCCACCTTGATCTTCCACTTTTAACCTCAAAGACTGTCAGCTCTTCTCTTTATGTGATTCCCAGCCTTAGGTGTTTAGTTATAGTAATGTAATGAAAATGGAGCAAGATAATCATCAGAGCTGGCATGATAATATATTGCATGATACAGAATAAAAAGAAGATGCAATTTGATGCAATAAAATATCTGCTTCTCACAGACCTAACGAGGTTACTGATATTCTCCATAAGGCTACAATGTTACTCTTCGTTTCATTCCATTGAAATTGCTACAGAATTATAATTTATCTGAAATGAATCTATATAGTTATGTTAATATATTTACATAAATCAATATATATTCATCAAATAATGATTAACTTGAATTTCCCTCAATAATTCAAGGCATCATTTTCTAAATGAAAACTACAAAACTGCTTAAAAATTCTTTTTAAAAATATGACTTGTCATGGCTCTACATAACTCAAAATACTGATCTTCTTTTCTGTGGACAAACATTTTGCCAGGTACTCATGGTTCATGTCAGTAGTCCTAGGTAGGACAAGGAGGTGGGGATCTGACACTAGAGCTTCAAAGAAAGCCAGAACAGGAAAGTCCATGAGACTTTCATCTCCAATTTTCCATGAAAAGACCCCAAATGGAGCTTTGGCTGCAGTGGAAGAGCACCAACCATGATTGCAAAAGATAGGGGACGATGATAATAGACTGTGAGTCCCTTGATGGAGAAAAATAAATTGTGGTTTTTGGTTTGCACACAAACAGCCAATAACACTAACATTACTGAGCCAATCATATATCTTATTTTCTCTCAGTTATCTTTGGATAATTAAGCATGCATGGTATTCTGGATCTCTGCCCAAATTTGCAGAGGCTGGTATCTACATTCTATCTACTAAGAGCCACAAAGAGGGAGCTGAGCAATTGCCATCTAGCCCCAAGACTCTTTGGTAAGAGCTTATTCTTCCTTCTTTACCTACTACTCCAGCAGCTTCAAGAGTTGTCTAGGTGTCTCAAGAGATCTACAATAGGCTGGAGTGCTAAAGCAGGTGAGGTGAGAAGTTCTTTCCTTGCAATAAAAAAATCCTTATGTTAATATTCAAATTCAGAATAATTTGAATAGTGTAATAATATCTACAAAAGAATACTCATATACTTGAGGTAAAATTTGAATAAAAATTCTCTACAGTTATAACTCTAGGTTTAAAATCTCACAAAGATATTAAAAAAACTCATATGATGTCTTGATTTTAATTTTAATTCCTTACAGGGAATTAATATATGTTATTAAAAAAACAGCTAGACCACAAAAGATAGTGAGTGATGGATAATCAACGAGTCTGCAGGACACCTGAACCCCTGGATCCTGACTTATCAAATGCAAGACAGCCAGTCTTTGCAGCCAGTGAGCAAGAATGAATTTCTTCTAGGCTGCTCCCTAGATTTGTGAGTTGCAGAAAATTGCACAGTATATTATTTCAACAGAAAATTGCACAGTATATTATTTCAATGTACATATTTTCAAAATGTATGAAATATTTACCAGGGTTGTTGAATATTTTGAAATAAATAATATGTGTTAATACTTGGTAGTATATGGGATTTTTTATGGATTAAGTTGTCATCTATTCTTACTGATGCTATTATAGTTTAATCATGAGCATTAAGTGGAAAAGATTACATAGAAATTCAACATTATGTAGTCTTTCTTCTAGGAAAAAGGTTTCATTGGATATGTTGGTATTTTTAAATAATAATTATATATAAATACTATAAATCAATCATATATTTGTTTAGCAACCATTACAGGCAGTGTCTAATTTGTAATGTTCCTGGAGATTAAATCATTCTCAGGATTTACACATTCCAAAATTGACTGGGCTGAATATTTTAGTAGATGCAACAGTGGTGAATACTTTATGCATCAAAAATATTGAAAAAATGGGAATGTCCCATGTTCTACATACACAAATACAAACTGGCTTTTAAAACATGACTTTTGGGTTTTCCAGAACATATTAATGTCTCTAGTAGAAAATGGCTTTGCTTACCCATATCTGACATTTCAGGCACTGTAACAATATATGGCCCATCTGTGAACTTTGGAGCATTGTCATTAATGTCTTGAACCTTGATGATGAACTCTGACTCAGGCTCAAGAGGCTTGTTGGTCCGTCTGTCAATAGCCTGGGCATGAAGCACATAGTGGGTCTTCTGTTCTCTGTCCAGGCTTTTGGTGGAGTGGATATCACCCGTGGTGTCATCAATGATGAATATTGTCCCGGCACCTTCTCCCGTGAGGATGTACTTGACAGAGCCGTCACCTTTGTCAGAATTGGAGTGCAGCTGTAAAATAATCAGCAATTTACTCAGTTTGTAATTGTACTGCAACTGCAGATCCTGTTCTCTGAAAATTCTCTACCTGGATTTTTTTTAAATTTATGGTTTTTATAAAGGGGATGTACACAAGAGTTTCAGTAATCTTAGCCAGGTTAATTACATTTCTTTTTGGACAAGGTCACCTTGTCCCATGCTCTCTCTCAGGTTTTCCCTCCCAACCTTATGTACTAGTTGTAAAGTTCATTTTCACATAGTTTCCATTGAGTATCACTGCTACTCCTGTTTCCTCTTCATTCCTCCTTTCCGGGCCTCACCTTACACCCCCAAAGACATTTAAATTTTAGAACCATCAGAACAAAAAGAAAATAAACACAAATAGCAAAGCATTTCCTGGACTTCATTTCAATAAATATTATGTTGTATGATCATATGCACAGGCATTACACCTTTATGTTCCTCTCCTAAGTATACCTCCTTTTAACAATAATTCACATATGGTTTCCTCCTATACAAAGTATCTTACATGTTTTCTATTTACTTATTTTCTCACATTTTTGTTCTACTTATGAATATGTTATCAAGGTTTATCTAAGAATCAAATATTGCTTTAAATCAATAAATAATGATTATATGAAGAAAGCTAATGAGACTTGTTCTAACTCAGGGTAAGAAACATTTTTTTTACTGCCAAGGGCCATTTGGATACCTATATTATAATCCATGGGCCATAAAAATTACTAACCCAAGCTGAAAACCATTGGCAACCAACAAGAAGTATCAAAGAGCATATGGGTGTTTACAATCTTGTACCAAATAGCTCCAAGCCTTATATAGCTAGGATGGAGGCTTCCTACCTCTGGTTCACTAAATACAGAGGTAGGGAGAGAAATTCTATCCAGCCTTTGTAGTTCATACTTATGAATATATTGTGTTGTTTTAATTTCCCTTAATATTCCTTCTAATTTATCCTCAGAGCTAGGATTACAATTTACTAGGTCAAATAGAGATGCAAATCAACTACTAAAATTTCACTTAATACACATACTTGTCAAAGCAGTACTAATGTCATGATTTGAAGGCTAGACTTGTACTATAAATGTTTATAATTAGAATATAAAATATATTGTTGAGATTTTACCTTTGGATCTTGTGAAATTTTACTTCTAATGTAAACAACTGTGAGAGATTTAATGAGCCAATATTAAATTTAATTAGGCTTTCATTAAAATTAGTAATTAATTTAGTTAGTATTTACTTAAGATACATTAATAAAAATTACAACATAAAAATATCGAAATATTTTTGCTATCTATTTAAAAATAATCAGTAAACGTTTTAGATGAGAATGTAACATTAACATTATTAACATTATGTGACTATTTTTCCATGATTTTAAATTGCCTGGCATCCATACTTTTGATTTTACTTTACAATATTACAATTGAATGAAATATTTCCAGGAGGCCTAGTACTGTACAACTAGCTGAAACAGAAGCAATATTTTCTGAACTCACAAATATGTAGTTGAAGAATGGTTTCTCCCAAGAGACTGAACAGTTATCCTTCAAATGAAATCTTTTGGCCACATAACCTCAGCTAGTCACCTTTTGCTCATTTCTGACACTGAAAACATTGAGAAAATATAACCTTATTCACATGGCACTTCAGTTACTTTTTTGTCACAGTAAAGTGAAAATTTCAAGGTTCATTTTCAAGTGTCTGCTCCCTTAGAAGACAGTTGAAGAGATAAAATATAGAAAAAGATAAATCAAGTAGCTTATTTTTCAGGGAAAAGGAAAACTACAGAAATATATTAGATAAAATGTTATGGATAATTTGAATACTTCCTTGAAAAAATATTTGCTATTGTAGAGAACATTCTCATGAAAATCCCTTAATAAGATCATATATATAAAATCATTTTAAAATGTTTATTTAGATCTTGCATAAAAATGTGGAAAATGTATCAACACAAATGGATAATTTAGCTTTCGAATATCCACACGTTACTAGTGCATTGACTGCACAAATGAGGAAAAAAATGTGGACAGGACAAATTGAATGGACCCTATGTAAACATTCCTCTTAACAAAGAATTGGAATGCATAAAAGATTTATCATTTGTGACACAGTCCTGAAAATATTTGGCAGACCAATCCATTTTACCTTCCCTAACTTTATATCAAGTAAAGGACGCAAAGTAAAAAATTTACTAAATAAATGCTTTAAAAAACTTTCCTAGAACTCATTTTAACCCAAAATACATGTATGTTTAAGATAGCTTGAAAATTAGTGTGTGAAAATATATATGTAAATTTATAAATCCATATTAATAATTATAGCTATCATTAAAATTATCTTTTTAATACTGTGCATTGAACCCAGAGTCTTGGACAAACTAGGCAACTATACTAATTGTCTCATTCACTCAATCCTTTGAATTTATCTATTTATTTATAAACTATGATTAACATATCTAGTTCTCATGATTCTACCTTATGATTTTGATTGACTTAGATTATAGCGATGTGCCACAAAGACAGAGAAATAACTTATGCAATCTACAACTAATTTTAGAAAGAAATAATAATACTGAAAATTGAAAGTGTATATATATGGGAGAACACACATGATTTAATGAGATTAGCATGATATTACTTAGTTTTGGACTAAATATTCATGTTGTAATAAAGGAGAATAGTTTGTGTTCATAAGATAACAACAGAACAAGATAAAAGAACTAATCATCCACTGAAAATTTTTACTCTGTACTCAATGTGTAATATATTCAAAATCAATTAGTAAAACCAAATTACCAGTAATTTTTAGACTTTAAATTTTAAGACATAAATTCTATACTACTTTTATAGAATTTATAGAATTTTTATGAGTAATAAATTTCTCAGTATAAATTTGTTGGAAGCTATGAGTAGGTTGAAAATAGTTCAGATTTATAACATTTTATTTGATTAATATACATATATATTATTTGATAATACCAACATATTTTAAATGTATTGGATTATTTTATCAGTTGTCCACAATATTTAGCTCAGGTGTTTAATTTACAAAATTAATTCATTTATTAATGACCTCCTTTGGGTTGGGGTTGTAATTCAGTGGCTAGCTTATGCAAGTGTATGGGTAAAATCTCCAGTCTTGCCCCTTGAGAAAAAATGATCATTTACAAGTTATTTAATATTTCAACTACATTGGATAAATTGTAAAAAATTAGTTTCCAAGTAACACAAATAAAGTTTAGTCAACCAATGATTAGTATGATCTTGGTGAGAATCATTTCTGGAGAATCAAATGATCCACAATCAGAACTTCATGTTTTTTGCTACATCCTTTCTCAACTATTATGTTTTGTTCACTATATACGCTCCTAGAGATGGAGTGTGGAAGGTACACTGTGAATAGTGTCTTAGAACAGCAGAAGGAATGACAGCAGGAAGGAAGGAAAGAAAGAAGGAAGGAAGGAAGGAAGAAAGGAAGGAAGGAAAGAAGGAAGGAAGGAAGGAAGGAAGGGAGGAAGGAAGGAGAAATAATTGTAAGAATAACAATAGAAAACTTGAGAGACACCCAAAATGCTCTTGGATAGAAACTGTGAGTTTTAACAGAGATATAAACAATCACAAAGATATCTTTGGCTCTTTCACTGTAGGTAACAATAAGATACAAAACAAAAGTGATTTAGTGGTAAGGAGTGGATATTTATTTTTTAAGTGGACACGGAACTGATTGTAACTAGCGAAATATCATGTTGTATGTATAGCTAGTTACTAAATTATTTAAGAAAAGTGACTACATTTTTAACATAAAGTAACTGAAAGCATTAGAAGTCACAGGTTAAAACTGCCAAGAAAGGTCATCCCCAGTGTCTTAGCACATATTTTTGGAATTTTTAGATTCTGCAAATTTTATTAAATCTTATAATAAAAGAGATGTCATTATATTCTAATGAAAGGAAATATGATCTTTGCACATTTGATTATATAATAAAGTGATTCTAATTAAATTCTTATAGGACGGAGGGACACATGGTGAAGAAGGAAAGTATGTGAAATACATTCTTCACTCAAGTAAAATAGAATGAGCACTGTTGTGGCATTATTTTAATAAATTGCCTTTTTTTTAGTGCTAACATATGGCACTAACAATGCAAATAAGACTCAGATGAGTTCTCGCTAGAAAACTATTTATGCATCCCAGACCACATTATTATTATGACCTATAAATTTACAGCTTTCACTCCAATGCACAATTCTTTACGAAGATGATAGTCTATTCCTTAAGATAATTTTAAAAGGCTGAGGAGATAGTGGCAGACCTATTGATTCTGAACGTTTCTTGACATTAGGGCTTCTACATTTGCTACTAAGGTAGGTCAACGAGTTTAAACTGTGATATTTCAAGTACATAATTTAAATGAATTTCTATAAGTGAAGTACTAATAACATTCCAGTGAAAGACAGAAATAAAAGCAGAAAATATTAGAATTCCACTATTATTATAATGTTAATTAAATTATAAGCATATAAGAAAATTATGACTAGTAAATGTTAAGAAATAGACATGAAGAAGGTGGTAACAACACTCTGATCTCCTTGTGAAAAGAGTCATTACTCATAATTTTTAACTATATATTAAGAACATAATAATTATTTAAGATATTAATAAAGTACTACATTCAACCACAAAAATAATGATATTCAATGAAAATTGAATGTTAGGAAATTTAATGAGGAAATTTAATGATCTTTCTAAATTTAGAAAGATCAGGATACAAAATTATTTTAAAATGAATTCTCACTTAGTTAAAAGGTAGTAAATGAGAATAAGAAGACAAAAGAGTATCAAGCAACACTTTTGTGAATCCAAAGATTGGGATGTTATTATACAGATCCAAAGCTGCATCAGGCTCTGAATACCAAAAGTGTTACCACTTCATATCCATCAGCAGGGTTTTGAATGTGCCTTTCTGATGAGTTACATATTTGAGC